CACGCTCTCACAGAAAACGAACTTAAAATAGCAGCTTAACACTGCTGTGTTTTGTATGGTGAGTGTAGAGAACCGGAGACCCATTTTACTGGAAAAGAGGCATTCCATCTTAGTCCTCACGGGTGACGACACATCTGCATTTTGATTCTTTATTGATCATAAATGTAGATGTCTATGGGTCACAGCAACCACTTATCATCAGGTGAACTGTGTGCTCGTTTGTCACCCTATACTATAAAAAAAACCTAATTAGAGGCTGTGAGGTGTTTCCAGTAAGCCACTAATCATGGATAGAGTTATTGTGACACATATTTAACGATAACATATTGTTTTAAAAGTTCAAAATACCTTTGTATCTTTGTAAAAAATATCTTATTCTTAATAAGCCGGTAATGAAATATCCAATGATAGAGAAAGAGCTGCTTGATATAGTGTTGTCCATAAAAAACTCTAGATCATATCTTTACGGGCTATACATATAATAAATCTTTAGAAACGTCGTGTCTGCCATTTTGATATTTCTGGAGAAAACAAGTCTAAGGGACTGAACAAAGGGTAATGAATCCAAATTAGTAATTTTTAGAATTTTTGTCTCTCTGTGTATTCACGATTCACGCAAAAATTACTGGACGGTTCCCATGAAAATTAAATGTGTGTAGGTAGTTAGGGACCTGTGCCAAAAATTATGAAATCTAAGATGGTTTTTAATAAAACATTGTGATGTACTCATTGGCTTTAGTTGAATCACTATTACTCATAAAGCAACACGTTTTTCTACGATACAGAATTGTCTGTCATTATATCGGATACGGTGATACGAAAATCTGCGTACACAATGACAATCGTCTGTCACTACAAAACTCCCATAACAATTAAAACGATAAATAAAGTTATTATATTTTTCTACGTGTTAGAGCCATGCTGCAGCTATATTAGTTGTAACACGAATGGGTTAGCGCGACCGGGGATGGAGTACGCTCTCACAGAATACCAGCGTAAAATAGCAGCCTAATGCTGCTGTGTTTCGTATGGTGAGTGCAGAGAACCGGAAACCCTTTTTACTGAAACGAGGCATTTCATCTTAGTCCTCACGGGTGACAACGCATCTGCATTTTGATACGTAATCGAGGATAGATGTAGGTCTATGGGTCACAGCTACCACTTACCATCAGGTGGACTGTGTGCTCGTTTGTCACATTATCCTATAAAAAAATACTGTATTAATATTAAAAAAAAAAACGTCGCTCGTTGATAATGACAACTCGGATACAAGCTGGGATCAGTCGCTCGACCGATCTTCATATTGTATGAGGGCGACCGGCCTGTGTTGGTAAACAAATTCAAAATAATACGACCGTATTGTAATTTTTTTTTGTTTAAAAAGAATTAAATCAGACGTTATTTAGTATGGTCAATGATATAATTTGTTTTAAGTTAAGATGTACAATAAAGAATAAATAAATAGAAATATGGGTAAATCAGGAATGTCTAGAACAGGTAAATGAAATTGTATACTTGGGGAGTGCTTTTAGCCGGGATGGAAGATGTGATTTAGATGTGGACAGGCGTGTCGCTGCCGGGAACAAAGTCAATGGTGCCCTGACTGCGTTAGTCAAAAGGCAAGGCGTAGCGAAGAGTGCACGCCTTGCAATACATAACGCAGTGTTGGTACCGACTTTGTTATATGGCAGCGAAACCTGGGTATGCCAGAAGAAGCATAAAAGTAAGTTGAATGCAGTGGAGATGCGATCTCTTCGTAAAATGTGCGGCGTTACTATGGCCGACCGAAAGCGAAACGAAGAGATTCGCAATATGGCAGGTTTGAAAGATGACCTTATCACAAAAATTGATAAGGGCGTGCTTCGGTGGTTTGGGCACGTTGAGCGAATGAGTAAAGACCGAATGGTGAAGAAAATATATAGCGCGAAAGTTAATATTAAAAGGTGTCGAGGTAGACCGAGACTAACTTTCGAAGACCATGTGAGCAAATTGCTCGAAGAGGGTAGGGTCAAGAGTACTCGGATACCTAGACGTGCATGTATGAAGAAGATAATGAATCTGAAAGAAGCGAAAGAGATATGTAAGGATCGTGACACTTGGCGATCTGTTCTCTCTGGCTACCCCGTCAGGGAATGTGCGTGAAGAAATAATGTCATTAACAATTCCTTAAATATGAAAGGTAGCGACATATTTTCGTAAATTTGACGTGGTAGATCTTTTTTTCTGCAAAAGTCTGAGTAATTCGGCATTTTGTAGGACGTTGATTCAGCCGTTTTTAGTATAGTGAACAGTGTGGCTGCAACTAGTTTTATTGTACGCATAGGATCTTGTGAACTTATGCTTTGGTAAAGGGGAACGCCTGCGTATGGCTACTCACCTCCGAACCGCCAGTGACCCGTATTGCTCTATGCTATTTCTCATCTATAAGCAAATTGTTCAAAACTGCATGGTTATCATTCTGGCGCTTTGTATATAATACAATATTACTACTACACATGGAAACAAAACATTCATTAAACGAGCTAGTTTTTGGGAAAGCATTCAATTTACCCAGTATCTTTAGAAGTATACCCGTTATATAGAACTAATATGTTTATACTAAACAAATTAAATGCAGACTTTAAAAATCGCAATATGATGCAAGACAAAATCTAAATTACTAGCAAACATGCTTAAAACTTATTATAATTGTTATACAAACCTTATCAAGTACAATGTTGGTGATTTGATACTATTTAGAAACAAAAAACGTGTAAATTAATTGAATCCCTGTATCTAGGACCTTATAAAGTTATTGTTATATATTCGTGAACCGAATCTAAAACCAGATTATAAGAATAAAGAAATGTTAGTACATAAGAATGGAAGTAGACGATAATAAATATCAAATTTAATAAATTTAAATGTATTTTTATGTGAAGATACAATAAAATTATGCTATTATTATACTGGGACAGGTTACTCTTAACCATACATTTTAACCATCCTTTTTATCCATCTCTCGATCCCATGACCTTATATGGCGACTTATAAATTATAATAAAAATTTCATCTATGTTTTCCACTCTTAAAGCTTCAAATTTATATGAAACGACATTTGCCTTATTTGATAAAAAAATTAAAACGATTCAACTGTCTCAAATACATAAACATAAAAACATCAACGCGTTGAATAAAGAAGTTCCGCCTTTTTGAAGGTCTTAAAACTAGACAATAAAATTACTGAACTGCTCGGTTATACCGCCACTATCAGACATCCAACAAAAAAATATAATGAATATAAAAAATAGAAAGTAAACATGCAGGACATGGCTAGAATCTTTCTAAATAGTTCTAAAAAATAAAAATTTGTCTAGTTTTGGTAGAGTAAACAGGGGAGTACGAGATGATGATTTCGACAATTTTTCATTGGTATAATAAGTCAGGACTGCAGTTGTCATTCTCTGTTGTCGATATCCGTCGTTGACAGACAGATTGTTTCTGTCGCGCAGGCTTCAGGCTCAGGTATCCTCTTAAGTTAGTTATTATTGCTGTGGTTCATGAGTTGCAGTAGCCACTGAAAATAAAGTGAATTGTTAGCTCGATGTACATTATAAAATTGTTAAGGGATACAAGGATTTTCTTTCAGAATAAGTATATGGGTCAGTTCACACCGAGACGAGACGCGACGCGACGATGCTTAAAGAGGCCAGGTTTCGCACCACGCAGCGCCGTCGCGAGACGCATCGCGACGTCGCGAAGCGCATCTTGAAGTCGCTTGCAGCGCACCGCACTTGCACGCCAAGCCTACCGACGAAGCACCGCTGCATCGTGATGCGCCGCGCTGCGTTGCGAGACATTTAAGGCGCAGCGCGGAGTAGTGCTACGCCACGGGGCTTTTTAGAATTATCTCAATAAAATGTGTATCTTTTTGTGTAGTAAATAAAGTTATATTTTTTCCATTACTACCTTAAAAAGTGCGCACCGCGTCGCGGCTCGTCACTTCTCGGTGTGAGCTAACCCTAAGATACAATAATTGACTTCGTAAATTATTGTATTATATATTGAATTTACTTTGAACTCAAATATTAATGATAATCTTAAAAATAAAACATGAAATCAAAAGCCTTACTTTTATTATCTTTTGCCATATTTTTATCACTGCACGGAGATAAGGAGATAAGGTACACCCTAATAAACTTTATTTTAAATTTGTTTTTTACATAACATTGTAGCATGATAAATTATTCACTATCTAATTCATCGTCTATTTTAGAAAGTGTTGTAAAATCTAAATGATACTTTTTTTTTTAATTTAGATATCTAAATTGAAATAACTTCTAACATCATACGAATTTAACGTGACAATATAGCGTTACAAGGAGTTCGGACATATTTCTTACATTCATTTTTTTGCTTACTTCATTTGTATACATATTTTTTAAAAGTCAACTTAGTTCTCAATACAACTTGTTTTAGGCATTCTTCATTTTGTTTTATTTCTTTTAATCACGCTATCTGTTATTTTCGAACAAAATAACAGTAAACATTAACTGTCGCATTTTACAAATAGCAAAAATATCCAAAACAAGTTTCACTTTAAGCATTTTATTGTTGTTTTTTTTTTCAAATAGTCAATGTGAGTGTTTTAACCTCAGTAGATATTTGGGGTCTCATCCCAAAAGTAATTCATTACAACTAAGATTATATATCTTTACAGAAACGTCAATGTACTTTTATGGTCAACTTAATCATTCATTGAATAATCAGTTACCAGTGGTTACCAGAAAAATATTATTATATTTTTGACAATAAACGTAAACCAAATTTTTTATAGGTCTTATTTGTATTTTTCTTTTTTTTTGTAAATCGTTTGAATGTTATTTATAAGTTAATTTCTATCATAATAATAATGCACTTATACACGTTTAAAAACACTAGAATTTTTACGTTTTGTTGTGGCTATTTATACTCGTAGTTTACGTAACAAATTAATAGACGTAACATGTATTTATTTGCAGAGATAGCTGAGCTGACTCACAAATTCTCCTCCGTGACGCTCTATAGAAACCGAACAGTCAGATATGCAGCCAGGATGCACGCTATAATTGCGTGTCAAATGGAATTTCAGCTTTACCCCATGGATATTCAATCTTGTCCAATTTATATTGAAAGTTGTAAGTACTAAAATAATATGAATTAATTACAAGTAATATCTATGTTTGTAATATGTTCAAATAATTTGCGTCTATTAATAATGTCTTATTAGTTATGATTATTAGTAGTTGGTATTCATAGCTAATTCAATTTTATTAACCATACTATGTTTATGTATGTTTTATATATTTTATTATTACATTATTATATAATATGTGTGTTTTCCAAAACATCTTACGTTATTTGATATATCAGCATCATCAGTGCTTAAAAATATAATAGTTCATCCCAAAGTAATTGAGAAAGTATCTCATCCGACTAAAAATTCCCTTACTGGATGATATACTTTCTCATCACAATATGTGAGTTTTTATATTCAGTTCAGTCATTTATTATATAAAAACCTTATTCCTTTAACCATCAAGGCCACAAAGAGATTTACTAATTAGCATTTTCTGCCAGTCAACCCATAGCGCAGTGATAAAATTGTGGCGGGGCCTTAAATAACAAAATTAATTCTGTTTATAAAATAATAAACAGAAATAGATATATCATTATAAATTTGAATTATCAAGGTTATAAGTTTATAGGTATATTTTTAACATATGTTTGTAGTATTAATAATTCGTACAGTATTCCAAACAAGGAACATTTTAAATGTGAGGTCCTTCAAAAATTACATATAGTAGAAAATAGAATGGAAAAATACACAACGTCTGAAAATCCTTTCGGTAATATTTGAAAATTACTCAAGCGTGCGAAAAAATTTGAATGTATGTTGTTTTATTATGTTTTTGGAAGTGCTTAACTTCAAAACTGTATTTGAAAACAAGAAACTTTGTTAGAAGAACTTACATTGTCATCCGATTATGAGCTATGTCAAAAGTCTCTGGCTCATCGGGAAGTTAGTTTAAAATCAATTACTAAATCGACTCAAACAGACATTCACACGAAAGCGAGTTAATAGAATCGTGACAAAATAAGTTCGTACATTTTCCGTGCGTTTTTTGACGGTTGATATATGTTACCTACTTCGTTTAATAAGTTTCAATAATTTAATAAAAATCTAGTTCAACAAATTAATAAATATATTTATATTATTATCTAATAGTATTACATAGGTAAACTAATTATTTTAAATAATATAAATAGGGCATTGATTTAGAATTTATTCGCTTGTTTGCCTAAAATTTTGTAATGTGAAAGAAACACCTAATAAAATTTGTAATCATGAATCTGTAAATTACTTGTACATTTTTTATAGAATAAGGGTGACAAACAACCATATAGTCCACCTGATAGTAACCGGGTGCTGTAGCCCATAGACATCTATCTACATTTATCACCAATTAAGAATCACAATGCAGATCCGTTGTCACCCCTGAGTATTGAGATCCATCTCAATAAAGCATTCCAATGCTTCGTTTCCAGTAAAAAGGTCTTCGGTTCTCTATACACTTCGTACCAAACACAGCTGCATTAAGTTGCTATCTTACGCTGGTATTCTGTGTGAGCATGGTCCTACCCCGGTCGAGCCGACCAATTCATACTACCACCGTAATACAGCTGCAGCGTGGCTCTACCACGTAAAGATTTACCAGTATATGTATGTACCAATCGGCCACAGCATCCAGTTTACATCAGATAGCCTATATGATAGTATACACACCCACACCCTCACCACCCTTATACAAGTTTAAATCTTTAGGGGTGACATCTATGTTCTTTGTTTGAAGATAATTTCAGACATTCATGGACCGGTAGCTGTTACAAAGAAGTAAAAACATAATAGAAACTAAATAAGCTCGTTAATATAATTTTTGAACATGATTAAATTTTTAATCAATTTACAGTCTCATATAGTAACCAAAAAGTACGATTTCGTTGGAGTGAAGCCGGCGTTACCATAAACCCTGAACTAAAACTTCTCCAATACAATATTGGAGAACCACTGCGTCTCGAAGAAACTAACGGATACATGATTGATAAAGATGGTACGTTCATTTGTAACAAAATATGTATATTTCTAGTTCAGAAATAACAATAAACCTGATACAACGAACTTTTTTTTTTTTCAGGAAACTATTCCAGATTAGTAGTGTACTTCCGATTCGAAAGACAAATCGGTCATCATTTAATACAAACGTTTGCACCCTCGTCGCTCGTTGTTATGTTGTCCTGGTTCAGCTTCTGGCTGGATTTGGACGCCATTCCCGGAAGAGTGACCTTACTCGTTACATGCATGTTGACTTTAGTCACTATGTTCACTGGACTGCGAGCTGATATACCGCCAGTAGCTTATGTCAAGGTATGAAATATTTCTATTGCTATTTATCAAATTTATCGGTGTCTTTATGGTGGTGGCGACGATGAGTTTGGGCTCCACGTACTTTCATGTAATAAAAGTACTGGAAGATTGTCCCGTCACGGTTCTCGGAATAATGTTATCCAAAGGTCATTTGTCTCCCTATAAATATTCCCTCGGATTTAGTTTTTTCTTAAAGAATTATTGTGACAAACGAGCAGACAATCCACCTGATTTTAAGTAGGTGCTTGAAGACTAAACTGAAATAATGTCTTGTATCCAATAAAAAAAGGTCTCCGCTTCTCCACACACATCATACGAAACACAGTAGCATTAAGATAACATTCCAAGTTGGTATTCTGTGCGTAGGTCTTCCCCAATCCTGCTACAATCATAATAATATAAACTATAATACTTGCTTGTCATGCGATAAGAAAAAAAAAAACAGTATATTTTGATTCCTTTAACAAAATACAGTATCGGCAGTTGGTAGTTGCTGCGGTAGGGTCTTATACGTGGTAGAGCCACGCTGCAGCTATATTAGTAGTATAGTTGTAGCACGAATGGTTCGGCTCGACCGGGGAAGGACCACGCTCTAACAGAATACCATCGTAAAATAGCAGCTTGACACTGCTGTGTTAAGTATGGTGAGTGTAGAGAACCGGAGACCCTTTTTACTGGAAAAGAGGCATTCCATCTTAGTCCTCACGGGTGACAACGCATCTGCATTTTAATTCGCAAACGAGGATAAATGTAGATATCTATGGGCCACAGCAACCACTTACCATCAGGTGGACTGTGTGCTCGTTTGTCACCTATATAAAAAAAAGGGGCAAGTCGCTGCAAGAAGGCTTGTTTTTTTCGCCCTCGAGCTAATTAAGTATAGCTAAGAAGGCACCGCAACCAGCAATCTTGACAGCATACCGAACCGTAAAAAAATTATTCACACTCGTTTTACAGTTATTTTAAAAACTAGTATTTTTCTTTTTAAATTCTTTCTAATTAAACATTTTCTCCATCCCTAAAATAACTTTGTTATTCAAATCAGTAAACTGTTCAAAACTTTCAGGCACTGGACTTATGGATGGCTGGTTGTATGATGTTCGTGTTCGCGGCTCTGGGCGAGTTTGTTGTTGTTAAAGTACTAGATAAGCAGTACCAAATGAACAAAACCAAAGCACAAGAGTCTATGCCTAGGATTATACCAGTGGTAAGAATAATATAGTATATGTATTATCGTCGCTATCATAAGTCACGAGCGATATATCTACAGGGTTATTCTGCAATAACCCGCCAAACTTGCAGATAAAGTTCAGAATAAGTAATATAGGCAAATAGTGAAGAAAAATTAATTAACAAAATCTCAAACATTCTGTCCTTTTTATCTTTTAAATTCAAAATGCGTGGTATAATGATTTTAACTGATTTTACTGCGCACGCAAATATTCGTAAAGGTCGATCGGTAGGCAAAAACTTTATTGTCCATAAATCACATTTAATAATGGGATAATTTAAAATAAAAATTTCAAATAAAAGTTAGGTTAATTTAAAAAAATAAGGCTTCTGTTATTTACTCGTATTTAAAAAAAACCTATTATAACGGTATATAATTATTTATATATTTGAAATTAAGTTAAAAATTTGGCTACTCTTTGAAAAATAACCCTGTATATATAATCACTTATCTTGCTAGGTCGTTATACAAAGAGCAGACACACTTATCTCATGGCTATAAAGCCAATAGGAATAATAGAGGCATAATTATATATGCAAATACAAAGACATTCTTCTTCAATGGCACGTAGAATTCACTGCTGGATGTGGGCGCTCTTCTATTGTAGAGAGGGTTTCCTTTAACCATCAAGCTTGGCAAGGCGATTGACAACCTGAGTCACTCCGGCATAACTAACGTACATATCAGTGTTTTTTGAAAATTCCCAATCACTATCTAAAGGCCACACTTACACTGATCTTGTCAAGTAATTCACCAAATTTTAATTTAATTTAACTTAATGTACGTCAACAATGAATATGGTAATAAGTTGCAAAATGATTTCTTATATTAACGTGAACACTACACATTGAATAAAACTGTGTTTACGGATTTTATCGCGTTTATTTTACTTATTTTATTAGTGCTTTAAAGCAACCTCTGGGCACTAACTCTGGGAAATAACTCTTTCGGGAGCGATTAAATATTATAAAACATGTAATTTTAATTTTGGTTCTAATGCAATTCTAATTACAGTATTTATATTAGATATCTTGCATTTAATTTAGAGAGTAAGTAATCAAATGAATCTTCTGACATCCGTAGTACAGAGAGTAGCTTACATTCTCCTGCGTGTTTATGAAATGGAAATGCACTTGTGATATATTCATTTCTCTTACTTATCCAGTTTCTCATCCAAAGCCTCGAGTTATCACTTCCCTGATTATTTCCTTCAATACTTCGTGCAAAATCCTAGTTGATACGAATTGTTGGTTGTCTATCTCGGAGCAACTAATGGTCTTCTGATAACTTATATAAAGTGTTAAAAAAGGGTTAATGCTTACTTAAAATAAATTTATAATTCAGTTAATCACTTGACTACTTAATGGTGTAAATCGCCTGAAGAGTATATATAAATTTATAACCAAAATTTAAATTTATATAATGATATTTTGTATATTACAGCGATTGAATGGAGAGAAGGGTTCGTGCGGTACCGTAGCTGCGTGGGAGGGAAGTGGAGTACGATGTCGTAAAGTTGACTTAACATCACCTACTTCCCCTCCCGCTTCCACCCCTTCAGTGAATGCCACGCCAGCAGCCCCAACCGCACATATTGTCGGTGTTGAACGACGTCAAAGTATATTACAAGTATGCCTTTTTATATTATTAGATCTTGATAGATTTTTGTCAAACATTGGCCTAGTTATTTTTTCCTTATAACATAGAAATCCCCATGATAAGGCATTTGGCGGTTTGCATATTTTACGCCTGGCAAAAACGAGACTTATATCGCCATCTGTAGGAAGTCATAAGATATTTCTCGCAGCCGCTTCTTACGAAACCCACGGCTCGAAATAGGATGATACATTGTAAAATAAGCATTTTATTTCATTTCAAACTGCAATTAAAAATTTCATTGTGACGGTGGGATCGAACTGGAATTGCTCGAATACAATGTATATTTAAAGCGAGCGCTTAGCTTTAGTCCCTGAGCGATTCAACCACAGAGTACCTTTATATATACTGAAATCAATTTATATAATTAGAATTTATATATACTGGATTCAACTATTAAATTGACCTATTATTACACCCAATGTGAGTGTAATAATAGGTCAATCTGTTATCTTAAAATGTCATTTTAAGATAACAGATGGCGCTACTAGTATATGTAAGGCATAGACATAATATACTGGCATATAGACGACTTGACAGCCCGAAAAGGCGTGACTAATTTTGATTTGTCATTGTGTACGTTAGCTAGTGATGTACATCATATTTTACTTACAAGGACTATCGTAAAATGATTATTAAGGCAGCGGTAAAAAGATTTAAAAACATTGTTTGGTGCACGAAATTGAATAACCTCAAAAAATAACTGAAGTTTACTGCATCACGATTACGCCTCTTCACATACCTCCCTTAGAACAAAAGCATTTATTGAGGAATATGGTGTTGAAACTCTAAGTCACCCACCCTACAGCCCTGACTTAGCTCCTTGTGATTTCTTTTTGTTCCAAAGAGTCAAAGAAAAAATAAAAGGCAAATTTTTTCACGCGCCGAAGAAGCCGTGGCTGCCTACGAAGAAACGATTTCTGACCTGTCAGATCAATATTAGCAAAAGTGTTTTCAGAGTTGGTTGGTTTAGGTGAATGGAACTTTGTATAGAGCATGATGGAAAATATTTTGAAAAGATGTAAAATAAATACTATTAGTATCTAGAATACTTTTTGTATATCTCAGTATATCTCAGAACATATTGACTGACCTACATATTAAATAGGTATTTCAAGTTTTTTCTTATGTTTATTTTATTCTATTTGTATAGTGAACATTCAGTGCAGTGCAGAAATAGCTGTATTGCACTTTTTTTATTAGTTTGATATATTTATATATATAGTTCAGTAATTATTGCAAACATTTTATATTACCTATATTACATTTACTGTATTATTTTTATATTAATGGCTTCTGACGAAGATACTTTTTTTTGCCAATGAATCTGTCACATCGTCTAATAACAATAGTTTTTGTTCGGTAACTAATACGCTTGGCGATTTCATGCGGCATACGTTTAATCAGGCGCACTCTTCGTTGAACGTGTGTCATGTCAATGCACAAAGCGTACCCAGTCACTACAGCGACCTAATTGAAGCTTTCCTGAATGCTAACGTTCATGTCGTATTGATTTCTGATAGTTGGTTCAAACCTCATCTTCTTTCTTTTCGTCCTCTCTCTGGCTTTACTATGATACGCAATGATCATGCGTACAGAAGAGGGGGTGGTGTTGCTATATCTCCGCTGTGACTTTTCTTACAAAATCCTAACCTCCTCCTCACCCTCCTATTTCGCCCCTGCAGAGTTTATTTTTCTCGAGGTATGTGTGAAGGGAATAAAACTGGTTCTTGGTGTTGTTTATTGTCCCCCTTCTGTTGATTACTTCTCCAGTCTCGAAACGACTCTGGAATCTTTAGGGTTGGAATACATGAATCATATCATCATGGGCGACTTCAATACTGACCTCTTGGTTCCCATCTCACCCCGTTCTTTTAAACTCCTTCATATTGTCGAGTCAGTTGGTCTCCACATCCTTCCGTTACAAGCCACTCATCACAATATTGATGGGAATGACACTTGGCTCGACTTAATTCTTACTTCTTCCCCTACCCTCGTGTCCTCCCATGGTCAATACCTTGCTTCTGGCTTCTCCCATCATGACCTCATTTTCCTTTCTTATGCCCTAAAACCTCCTAAACTGCAGCCTAAAATCCTGCACATGATATGCTTTGATCGTATGGATCTAGAAGAGTTGTGTTTAGATGAGTCTAAATTAAAATGGGACAGGGTGGTGGGCGCTCTCACTGTGGATGAAAAAGTCGCTGCGATTAAAAACACTTTTCTCAAGCTTTATGATGTACATGCTCCATTGAAGAGAGTGAAAGCCAAGCGACCACCTGCTCCATGGATGACGAGAGGTGTTCATATAGCCATGAGGCGTAGGGTTCGGGCTTTTCGACGTTTTAGAAAAGAGTGGAATGATGAGAAATGGAACATCTATAAAGCTGCTAGGAATCGGTGTAATCAGATGATACGCAACGCTAAACGCCGATATATTCTTGATAACATCATTTCCCCTTCCTCTGCCGATATTTGGCAGTTCCATGAGGCTATCGGAATCGGTAAACAGCCTTGTTTTGTGTTTCAGGGGACACTTGGTTTGGATGATATTAACTGTCATTTTGTTTCTCATACTCCTCTGGATCACCAAACCAAGTGTCACCTTACTTACCTTGCTTAAATATCGATCCCTTCCAGTTTTCTCTAGTTACTTCGGATGAAATTAAAAAGATAATCCTTGCCATTAAATGAAACGTAGTGGGTAGCAACAACATCAGCCGTCGTAAGATCATTTATATCCTTGACCAAATTCTTCCAGTTATTTCCCATATAATAAACTTTTCCCTAGATTACGGAGTTTTCCCGTTACTGTGGCGTATGGCCTACGTTATTCCCTTGCCTAAAACTTCCAATCCAACTTTACCAAATCACTTCAGACCTATATACTCGTATATTCTTTCTTTCCTGTCCAAAGTACTTGAAGCCTGTGTACATAGGCAACTGTCTCTGTTTGTTTATAAGAACAATATATTAAGCCCTTTTCAGTCTGGCTTCAGGCCCGGTCACAGCACTATTTCCGCTCTTCTTAAGGTCACTGGTGACATTAGGGCGGGCATGGAGGACATTAAAGTCGCTGTACTGGTTTTCGTTGACTTTTAAAACGCCTTCAATACCGTCAGTTATGACATCCTACTTTCTATCCTTTTCCATTTCATGATTTCTTCTGAAGCACTGGATTGGTTCTCAACTTATCTTCGGGGACGTCAGCAGTCGGTCCGCATTGGTAAGTCTGCATCAAGCTGATGTGACATAAATTCTGGTGTCCCTCAAGGCGGTATTCCCCATTGTTATTTTCAGTATTTATTAAACTTATCGCCTGCAACCTTCAGTATGCGTATCATCTATATGCTGATGACCTACAGTTATACGCACAGACGAATGTTGATTGTGTGTCCGCCGCGGTGGATATAGTCAACAAGGACTTAGAGCATATTAAGAGCTGGTCTTACAGGTTCGGTTTAACTGTTAATCCATCCAAGTGGCAGGCAATTGTGCGATGGCTACCTAGTATGTAGCCATCGCACAAAAAAAATAGACACTACAGCTCTACCCGCGATCATCTTTAACAGTCCTGTTTTGGAATTATGTTCTTCTGTTAAGGATCTTGGCTTAAGCATTGACTCCACTTTGAGTTGGCATACCTAAGTAACAAATGTTAGCCAGAAAGTTACCGGTACCTTGCGGAATCTTTACCGCCTGTAAAACTTCCTTCCATCCGGGACCAAAGCATTAATGGTGTAATTCTTAATTTTTCCCCTGATCGATTACAGTGATGTATATTATTTTGACCTGAATTCAGACCTTCTTGACAAATATGATCGTCTTCTTAATATCTGCATTCGATTCATTTTTAATCTTTGTAAGTATGACCTTGTCTTATCGTTTCCAACTTAAGTGGCTTCCAAATTGTCAGCAACGTAGTATGCGCGCACTCACAACCCTATACTCCGTTCAGATGTCTCCTACTCCCCCATCTTACTTAACCTCTCATTTTCAGTACCTTTGCTCTAGCCATGACAGAAACCTGTGTTCTTCGAACAACCTTTTACTAAAGTGTCTCTCTCATAAATTGGGCTTCCTGCATTCTTCCTTCACTGTACAGTCTGTTCTCCTCTGAAACGCACTCCCTCTTGAAATTAGAACGGCTAATAATGGTTATGCATTCAAGAAGAAAGTTCGCGAATATTACTTAAATAAACTGACAGAATAATTTCATTACTAGTATTTATTTATGTATTTATATAAATATATAATTATATAATGTATGTAATTTATTAATTTTATGTACATAATTTATATATAATACTCTGCATGTAATAAATATTTTTTGATATTTAAGTTTATGTATATTTTATGTATATATTTTTATGTAATTAATAGAATCAGGCGTTACTTTGCGGAAATTCATTATATAAAAGCTTTAACAAAAATTTACTTCGCAAATATCCGCGTTATAAAATAAAATGATGTGTCTTACCCAGTATGAAGAAGCACCTAATTGAGGGAGGGCGGGAGGTGCTTCTTCATACTAGCAGAAGCACCCTAGAAGAAGCACCTAAAGCCCTCCCTCCCTTGAGGGAGGGCGGGAGGTGCTTCTTCATACTAGGTAAGACACATCATTTTATTTTATAACGCGGATATTTGCGAAGTAAATTTTTGTTAAAGCTTTTATATATTTTTATGTATTATTTTGTTTTATTTTTATATAATTTAATTTACATTCTTGTCTTTTAGCGTTTAACACACCTACTTCATATTTTTATATCTGCGTCACCCTAAGGTTGACTGGTAGAGAATGCCTCGGGCATTAATTCCGCCTGTACATCATATTGTATGAAGTCTAAATAAATAAATAAAGACTAATGTGTTTATGAGGCTCCATCATGCTTCATGTTTATATTCTTACACCTTTCCATGAAAAGTATAAAGTAATAATCAATTTATTATCATTTTAGCTGCACGAATTTTAA